ACGACTGAAAACTAGCTCAATCTGACTCAGACAACTTACAGGGCTAAATTCGTAAAAATATCTTCTGTTTTTTTGTTTGGTCACAAAGGACTATACTGTAATTTCATACCACTTTTAGGTTAGATTTGCATTTGATTGAAGTTTGGGTCTAGTATTGGGGTTAAAACCAAGTTGTAGGTTAGTTTTGGCAAAAACCCCAAAAATAAGTTGGAAATATTTCCGCTAAATATCTGGCTTTATCCTCAAATTCTTAACACTGTTCAATTATCTCTGTAAGCTTTGAAATAACATTCAGTTGAATAATTTCCTTTGTGAATAAAGCAGTTAAAAATTTTAAATACAGATATTTCACAATAAACATTTCAATTGTTTCATCTGTGCTTCTGCATGATTTTTGCGTTAGTTAAGAGTTCACATGTTTTGAAACCCCATCAAGAACAAAATGTAAGATGTTGACACTTGACGACAATTATAAACATGATTCTTTTTTGGACCACCATGTCCAGTCGTACATTGATTGTAACCAGTAAGAAGCAAAAAAACATACAAGATCTTTGTTCTATAGTCCTTCTATCATCTATGTATGGTTATCATTAGACAGTGTGCAAACCCCACATAGTCATAGAAGCACAACACATACACGATATATGTTTTCTATGATCCTTCTCATCTATGATAATGACCTAGACGGGTGGCAGCCCACAAAAGAACGGATAACAACTTTAATGTGTGAGGTAGAAATAGGTCAGGTTTTTTTTAAAAAAAAGCTAAAGTCTCAGAAGAAAAAAAAAGTTGTACTTGATTGTTACTGGAGTGATTTTTCTGATTATGTTTTTGTTGAAATGAGAGGTTGAAGTTTTTAAACTTCAAAAGAGTTTACAAAATAAACACTTATTGTACATTTCATTGTATGAATTGCTCGTATTATTTGATATTTATGTCAATGATATTATATAGGATAATAAAAACGTACATGGTATGATCTATTCACAATCTCTTTAAAAAAAAAGCTCCATACACTTATTTTACATGATGTTACACCAGATATTACTATTAACACCACACAAGATCTATAAGAATAACAAAGTTATAGTTAGGCATGTGCATTTTACCCGACCTCAAAAAATCGAAATGGAACAAATCCAAATATACTCGACCCAAAACAGAACAAAAAAATTATAAGTATCTAACTGAGTCCAATACTCGAAAGAATCGGAATTGAAAGAACCGATCTGAATAAATCTGGATCCAAAAAGAACCGAGTGGAATAGACTCAAATCGATAAGAACTGATTCATACCCGACTTGAAATATGAATATCCAAAACTATGATTTAATTTGTTCTATTGTATATTTTAGTTTATAATTTAGTTGAAATGTCTTTTTATTAGCAAACTTCAGTATTATCTTATAAAAATTTTAAGTAATATGAAACTTTAAATGCCAAGTTTAGAGTGTAAAATGTTTAGTTTCACTTATCAATAGTTTATTTTTGGTTATTTTACAAAAAAAAGTTAAGATACATATGATTGATTTTAGATTTTTTTTTTGATGGATTTCAGTCTTTGGATCTTAAATACCAAACCTTCTACGCTACCGAAAATTAAAAATATTTTACATGTATTTTAATTATAGACATGAAACCGATCTAGATCCGAGAGAAGCCGACTAGGTAAAATAACGCCATTCTAATCATGCGAGATAATTATAGAAGCATTGTCCAGGTAAAAGATATATACACACCATTCTAATCATTAATCAAGTAAGTTTGATCCTTCATATATTTTTAATTCCTAGATAAAGATAAATGAGTTCTTAAGTTTTTTTTTTCTAAAATGATACACTAGATTGTCGTACAAAGAAACTTGAAATATATATCTTTTCCGGGAAGACTATATATCATGTTTAAAAAAAACTGTCAGAACTAAAACATATGTCACCGAGGGATTTTCAGAAAACTATATTTGGCTATTATTACTAGCTTGAGTTAAGGTTATCTAAAAAGTCAAAGGATGTATATATATACCATTTGTCGCCGTATATTGTGATTGCGTTGTTCATTAGAAGAGTTTGACATTTTTTAAAAAATATATGTAAGACAGATGTAAAGCGATAACTATAATGCCGATCTTTAATATGCGCATACTTATGTTTTCTTTAAAACCGATTAATTATGTATTACAAATTATGAAAAATATTACATAGACGAGACTATAGCCGATAATTCTTTCTGCTTTATGCGGATTCACGTATGACTGCATCATCCTGAACCGTCTATGAGATCCATTTCTGACGGTACGCCTTGTGTCATGCTGAAGATCTCTCGTAAACCTTTTCTCTAATCTGTATAATTCGCAGTTCACATTTTCCAGGAATTTAAACCTTCTTGGTGTAGAAACTGCATAACCTAGGATTTGAACCCCTAACTTAATGTAGAAGCTTTTAAACTTTAACCAATAGACTACGGTGTTTCCACATTTATGTTAATATCAATAAAATACACATAAAATAAGTTAGACATTCATAATAAAAATTACATTTTTGGTCATCAGCTACAACAACAGTGCTGATGCAAAATTTATTGACACCAGAATAACTTCATCAACAATCAAAGATAGATCACACATACACACCTCATATCAAAAGATAAATAGAAATATAGTAAAAGTATACTTTTACATATTTGATTTAGTGCATGGTTAAGGAGGACAAGGTTTGTAGCAGTGGCAGTGAAGCTGACCATCTAAAGCTTCAAGGTCACATTGTCCAGTATAGGTTGAATCCATATCCTTGCAATCAGTGTTACACTGTTGATTCAGTATTGCAAGAGGAGTACAGGCCTCCGCTGGACCTTCATCTGCAAAACATTGACCCTTTGCTTTTGGTAACCCTGTTTAAACCATTAGTTAATCGTTTGTTAGAATTACAACATTGAAAACAAAGTATACATATGATCTCGCTTAATCTTTTGGGAATATTATGTATAGACTAACGATAGTCATCAAAAATGATTTCGAGGTAAAAAAATCACATAACACGTAGGTAATTATTCTCCCTGATCGATATAGAGAAACAAAAAAGATAGCAAATGAAAGTACCATTCGAAACCAACAAGACGATCAAAAGAGCAGACAGACAGATGGAGTTGATGAGGGTCTTTGCCATTTTTGTGTGTTTATGCTATTCCACGTCTTAAGCTTGAGCTTCTTGCAGACTATGAGAAAGCATGGAAACATTTTATAGGGCATTTTCGTTGACCTTTTGTGTTGTGATTCTATTAGCTGTATTATTCTTACAATATGTTTTATACATATTTAATACTAATATTGATTCATTCTAAGTGAAGTCATAATGTCGCCATAATTTGGATCGTTGACATGGCTAATGAGTTTTTATACTTATATAAATGTTATTTAACTCTGCAATTTGTAGGAATAGTTTTCAAGCTTAATGTAAGTATCATACCTGTACAGAAAAACTATATCGTGTTTAGATCTTGACATCTCGTTTGATCGTATAATCTGATATTTTCGTCAGTGGCATATAACAAAAGAACAAAGAACACCGTGTATGAACGATTCACAAAATCTTCTCTACTAAAAGAAAAACTATATTCTGACCATTCTCTCGAAAGCGGATAACTAAATTTTGATTCGCGTTTTAAAAGCGCATAATATTATACATTTTAACAATTTAATAAAAGTTCATCAAATGTTTTGTTAAGAATGATAAAATGGTAGATTCTACTTATTTAAATTTGTCTCACTTTTGACGAACACATTTATTTTTCGACCGTTTGAACCCATTACTTTTAAGTTCTCAATAACTTATCCATTTAAATTCATGTAATTGTATTAATCATCTATTTAGATCGGTTTTAGTTTATTTTGAGTACCCAAAATAATTTAATTAGAAAATATATTTGTATCCTAAATTTTTTTAAGAAACGTTTAATTCATTTCTAAAAAACTGAAAGCAATGTTTAGATTTTTTTTATTTTGAAAAAATAGAAAATTAAAATCAATGTAATTCATGTATAAAATCTTAATATATACGATTGTCATGCTTACTGGATTCAAAATAATGTAATTTTAGCTAAAAAAAATATTAAAAGAAAGTTTGTGAAAGTGAACCGGCCTCCACATAGATCAAACGAAATCAAATTGTTATTCAAAATAATTTCTAACTTAGATTTGAGAATATTCAATAAATTGAAAATTATATGTATATGGTATTGATAAAATCAACTTAGTTAACCCTGCTCGGTTTTATATAAGCTTTCAAGTTTAAATAACAACTTCCTATGGTGAACCAAAAAGTAAAACAGTTTCTACACAACTATTTCACAATAAACATTGCGTGTGTGTGTGTGTTTCTGTATGCTTTTTTTTTCATTAGTACAGAGTTCACATGTTTTAAAACCCATCAAGACAAAATTTAAGNTCAACTTAGTTAACCCTGCTCGGTTTTATATAAGCTTTCAAGTTTAAATAACAACTTCCTATGGTGAACCAAAAAGTAAAACAGTTTCTACACAACTATTTCACAATAAACATTGCGTGTGTGTGTGTGTTTCTGTATGCTTTTTTTTTCATTAGTACAGAGTTCACATGTTTTAAAACCCATCAAGACAAAATTTAAGATGTTACGACATGTTTCACACAAGAATCTGTTTTGGACCACCATGTCCAGTTGTACATGAAGCCAAGAAAGAAAAAAAACTTACAATATATATATTTGTTTAGTGATGCTTCTATCACCTCTGTTGGTGACGTGCGAAGCCCACATAGCCATAGAAGCAAAAAAAGCATACAAAACATGTGTTCTATGATCCTTATCATCTATGATAGTGATTAGCTAACCCCAACGTTATAGGCCACTTAATTCATTGAACACGAGAAATGAATTGCGTATTGAAGAACGGATAACAATTTATATTTTTGGGGTAGGTATACTTCAGATTATTTCTAAGATAATGTCAAGAAATTTGTTCTTGGTTGTTATCGGTACTGAAACGTTTTTTGTTTAATAGAGGTTAAATTTTTCTGCCGATGAACTTCAAAAGAATATTATGTCTCGAAAAAAAAACATCATAAGAGTGTGTTAACAAAATAAACCACCTATTTTACAAAAGAATGAGAATTAAAGTAAAAGAAGCATACAGAAAGAAGAAAGCTCAAGCAAAGCCAATAGTGTATGCTGTGATATCAACAGGGAAGAACATTAGCTCATGAAAGAAAATTTCCATAACATTTAGGCTGTGATCTTCTTTATATATTTTGCCTAACTGTAACTAACTAATCATGTATCTCGTGTATCGAGATACCACCAATTTTTCTTCCCATATATGTTAATGGAAAATGGTACAAACTAGGATCTCGACTGCTCTCAGATGTTGTCGATCGTGTCTGATCTTTGCTGTATGTTTCTGCATGGCTTCTGCTTTGTAATTGTCTTTCCTTCTTTTATCCTTTTGAAGTACTCTCTCCGTTTCATATTAAATGTCATTGTAGAGTATTTTTTGTTATAAAATATATATCATTTTCAGTTTTCAATATAAAATTTATTAACTTTATTTTATAATTTATTTTTTTATTGGTCAAAATGTGATTAGGTGTATAGATAATTGTGTTTTTATTTAGAAAATATGTAAAATTATTATTTTTTAATTTGTGTGTCAAAATCTAAAATGACACATATTATAAAACAGAGGAAGTATTATTTTATGGAATTTGTTTAGAAGATCTTTAGCTATCGACTATGTTTTAGCTTTTCGGTTTAGATCCAGTCTCCTTTGTTTAAGAAAGTGCTTCCTTAGCTTGTTTGGACTAACTTTATCATATTAATATTTTACAGACAAGACACGATCAGTTTATGTAGGCTTTTGCTTCCCACACTGGAACCATCAAACACACCCTCAAGCTCTTCCACGAACCTCTTCATCGCCTTCTCCGGTAAACAAACCGGTACAAGGATCCCTCTCTCACCTTTTCTATTCTCAGCCGAAACATAGAAGCTAGACGCCAGAGAATCCACAACTCCAGCCGTACCGATACCTCCGTAAACCGGTTTACCCCAAACTCCAAGATCAATATCCGCAAAGTTTCTCACGTCAGATACCAAATAGGCTCCGTCCATCCAGAACTTTGGTCTCCCTTTCGTCACCATAAGATCAGCAAGCGATCGCATGTACTCATCAGTCACGCTCGCTTTGGCCTCCTTCACTAGTCTCAAAGCAAACTCTAAAGGTTTCTCCGTAAGTTCTCTTGCCCTTACGATTGCGACTGGAAACGCAAACGCGTTTCCGTAGTATCCTCGAGGTAACGTTGGGTTTTTGAGCTTGGGACGTGCGTTGACGATGAATATGACTCGCATCTCCTTGTTCGGGTCGGGTCGTAGAGCGGCGGTGCGGTGACGCCACAAGAACGCCGTCAGCGTTTCCAAACCGGTGCTGCGGTTGGCGATGTTCGGTGGGAGGAGCCTCCGTATGGCTGACATCTCGGCGGCGCCGAAGAAGAAGGATTTGCTGATCAGAGTGTCCACGTCTTCAGTGGCGGNATGAATATGACTCGCATCTCCTTGTTCGGGTCGGGTCGTAGAGCGGCGGTGCGGTGACGCCACAAGAACGCCGTCAGCGTTTCCAAACCGGTGCTGCGGTTGGCGATGTTCGGTGGGAGGAGCCTCCGTATGGCTGACATCTCGGCGGCGCCGAAGAAGAAGGATTTGCTGATCAGAGTGTCCACGTCTTCAGTGGCGGATTCTGACACGGCTTCGTCGTACTCTCGGTGTGTTTGTGTCACACGTGGTGGGACTCTGGCGCTCAGAAGGTGACGTTCCCACGTGGGAGTGATGGATAGAGCGTGACATCCACGTGCGAACTCGCCAATAGCTTTTATGAAGAGTGAGAGTCCCCCTGCGTCGGCTATTACGTGGTTGAGACGGATGGCGAAGATAAACCCGCCACATTTCAGACGCGTGACCTACAAGAAATTAATATTACTGTATAATAGTAATATTCGGTGTATTATATATATATAGGACAATTCTCTCGAATAACTCTCTTTTAAGGTTTTACCACAAAAATTAGACCTCGAAAATTAAAAATGATCAAAATAACACTTTTTATTTTGAAAATTTTAAGTTTTTTCTATTTTTTAAAATTTGAAACTTTATCCCCAAAACCCCACTCTTCAACTCTAAACAAAAGAAATATAGAATTAGTTAACCCAAGGGATATAAATGTATATTTAATAATATATTTAAGTACTATTTTGGTCATTTTAATTGTTAAATTCTATATTTGTGACAAAAACATTTGTAATTCTATCCTAGTCATTTTCTCTTATATATATAGGAATTAATATGATCCTTAAGTGTAGTATTCTTTTCTTCTTGTTTATTTGACACTAAAATTAATATTTAGGTGTAATATTTCTTCTAAAAAAAAATCTGTTTTATATCCAAATTATTCTCATGATTTATTTGAAAATTTGAAAATAATAAATCATTTTAGCTAATACTCCTTCAGTTTCATAATATAAAATTCTGAATAAAATTACGTCGATTTTTTAAAAAATCATTATACTTCAACAAGCTATCATTTAATGTATTTATCATGTAAAATTCCACCAATTAATAAAAATGTTTGTAAATTTTAATTGGTTACTAGAGCTGGACCCGTCCGACCGGACAGGTATTTATTTCATTTTTTATATAAATGAATATTATTTAAATGTCTATCCGTTAATATTTTAAAATATTTATCATATTTCTAAATTTTTATAAACACAACAATCGAATAGTTTATGTGCTGTAAAAATAGTGATTCGTGTTCTTTATTAAACTTTTGAAAAATTAACATTGACCTATTGATAGTTTGAATAATATTTCTTGTAACATGAAATTGTTTGCCAAATGTAAAAGAATTTAAATATTTTGATCAGATATGGATAATATGGTAAGATTTAGATACGTTATAAAAAAGAATATTTGGTTATAAACATTAAACATTGTTTTACAAGTAATTCAATATTTCAATTTCAGTATTAAATTTTCTTGTTAAAAATAATTAATAGCAACCAAAATGGTAAAACATATATTTTAGAAATTCTTGAAAAATATATATTCTTAGGTGAGATTTAATTATATTAAATAATATTCAGTTACAAATAGTTCATGTTGTTTATAAGTAGTTTAAATATATTTAAAATCTTATTGTTCAAAATATTTAATGCTAAGTTAAACATATATTTTAGGAATATTTATAATATTTGTTTTAATTTCGAATTTAAACTTGAATTTAATTCAAAGTAATTAATGGTAACGTTATACAAATTTAATATTGTTAAAATCAAATTTAAATATGAATATTCCTAAAAATCAGTTAGTTTATTTTAGGGAATATATTAAACACGAAAATTAAGCTAAAATTGATTTAGGAAATTGTTTAATAAATAGGAAAATACAATAATTACTTACATTTTAGTTTATTTAATTACTTCAGTGGCATGCTATTGTAAATAAAAAAAGAAAACTAAGGGGTATTTTATATGGGTACTTCTCTTTTAATAATATAGATACACTATTCAATAAAGATAAAAATTGCGTTGATATGTGAAACATATATTTTCAAACTAAATAATCTTTAAAAACAACTAACGGGAGTACTAATTCTTTCCACGAAAATTATTAATTTTTTTTTAACATGAAAGTTGAATACATGTGAAACTGACCTGGATAAGAATCAAAGGTGCGTTGAGCACCTCACTTGAACCTTCTAAGTCAAAGAGAAGTTCTTCAAAGCAAGGGAACGGAGGACGAAGCACATCCTTATCTTCAAACTCAGCTAGTGTAACATCAGCATCTGCCTCTATGAACAATACCCCTTCGCCAGTACAGTCCACTGCAAGTTTACGGTTCAGTCCTTCCTTAAGCCTACCAGCCAACGGGTAGTAGTAGACAAGCGTCTCGGCCAGTGCTATCCTAATCACTGCGACCGGATCAGAGTAAGCATTGGGGTTGTGTCTGTAGAAAAAGATAGAGGGAATATGGAATCTTAGTCCTTCTTGGTCGTCGATGTCGGAGAGGAGTTTGAGCTCTCTCGGTGTTGGCTTTGCCGGGGATACTAACTCCGGCTCTCGTCGGTGCACCTTGAAGGTGAGTGAGCCGGAGGTTACTGGTGGAGGGATTTTCAGCTCCATGGTTTAAGACATGGTGGTGATATAACATCTCTTATTTATAGTGGTATTGAGAGAAAATCTTAATGAGATATAATATTACCGTGTAATTATGAGTGTTTGAAAAAAAGGAAACTGCATCATATCATTTTAGACAATGATTAATCTTGGGTTCTTAGCGGAAATTAAAAAAATATTTCTTAATTTTAAACTAAAAAAAACTAATAATCAGTTCTTAAATTCTTAACCAATTCTTACCTTTTTAATTAAAAATTAAGAAATAGTTTTTTAATTTTCACTAAAAATTTTACTTTAAGAATTCGGATTAATCATGCTCTTATATAAAAAAAAAACACAAATTCACTACTTACTAAACCCCCTCCCTTTTCTACTTTCTCTTCGTATCTCTCTCAATTCCTTTTTTCAAAATTTAATTTTCCATTTTTTATCTGACAAATAAGCCTCTTAATTACGTTAGTTATATTTTTTGTCCACTTACATTAGTTTATTATTAACTCAATAGTACTACAGTACTTACGAGGAAACTGACCCATGATCGAAGATTAATTGATGGCATTATAAAAAGTTTGGCATTTGTCTGGTCGACCAAGAAGTCTGTTCACACCTAATTGCATAGTTTGGCAGTTAATCGAACATGCTCTCCAATCTAAATTCCTTTTCCATAACTAACATTTTTAAATCGTCTTTTGACAACTGTGATTAACTAAAAGTCATTTTAGATATACACGAAAGAAGATAACATTTTTTTTTTGAAATGAGTGAATGAAAATTAAATGTAGTTATAAATTAAAATATTGTTCCTAGTTGTCTGAGTAGTCATTTAAAAAACAAAATATAATCTTTAAACGTTTCTTGTTTATGACGGTCAGCAATGCAGCGTTAACACAAATCAAAAATGAACGTTTGATACACAAACAACTAGATAAAAATTTAGAGATTGGATGCATAACGTGTTATATTAATACATACCAATAACGAATGCAAAGAATTGAAAAATTAAATCATTTGGCGAGGTGGTGATGAATATATAGAGAACCAAAAAATCTGTCAAAGACATCTGATAATTTATTCTTCAAAAATTATAATACTAAGCCTAAAGGATCAATTAAAGCAAAGGGTTAGGGCATGCACATCAATGAACCCCTGGTGGGGTTCATGACTTTAATTTTTTAATTTTTTTTGTTTGATTTTTTTCTTTTTAAAACAATCAATAACAGGCTGCCACGTGGCGTGGAACCTATAAAAACAGTCATGAACAGGTTCAGCAGGGACAACCTTCACGAATTGGAGTTCATCAATGTTCATTATTATAATATATTTTTTTTAGGAAGTGTGTGAACTTGGGTATAAACCTTTGATATTGCTCTTATAGTAAGAATCACCCAATGAATAAACCCGGCTTATGTATATTTTTTGAAACTTTTGACTGCTCTTAGAATTGAAATAATTTGTATGCAACTTGATGTATTTTACAACATGTAAATCATTCCTGACATTCACGGAACTACGCAATGACTAAAACCAGCTTAGATTTTTTATCTAACTTGTTTGGTCATGGCTTCTGCATGTAGTATACTGACTATATATGGACGTCAAACGTACACGGGATGCTACTGCAATGATGTGGCGGCCATTTTCATAAAAAGATTGCTAGTTCAGAAACAAGCATATTTTCGTTCGATCAAACTATAAGCAGCCATTATGAACCAAAATACATAAATATAATATGGGATATACAGTGAGATTATTATTATTTTTGGTCAATACAATGAGATTATTTCAAATACGGATATATATCAAAAAAGGACCTGGTCTTGAATGGAGTGAGGGCCGGCTAAAAGGACTCATTCAACAAATTTTTTTATTGTACAGCATGTTAAAGTGCTTAATTCCCAGTAATTTTAATATATATATATATATATATATATATATATATATAGTATAAATTATCTAACCAGCTTTATCGACTAATACCAGTATTATTCGAAGAAATTCACTATCCGTGATAATTATAATTAATTGGTCAAAACTGGTAGATATTAACCTTGTACGACACTTGTAGTTATGATCACCAGTCACCACTAGTACTTTTTTTTTTTTGCTAAGTATGTGAATATCATTAAGAAATGAGAAGGTTTGTTTATACAAAAAGGTTAAGCGGGCTAGTCCTTCTCTGGCAAAAAAAAAGAAAAACAGAGAAAGACTACATAATACAAAGAAGCTCAGTTTGATCACTCATACTTCAGCCAAAGTCTCATCAGGTTACGGAACTTTTATTGCGGTTCTTCCTTGCAATGATGG